CTATCTGTATGATGGCCTTCCTTAACTCTTTGTACGATGGCCTTCTTCTGAGGTCTGTTCATCATCTCATATCACAGTATCATCTCCATGTTTATGTCATACAGAATTTTTGAATGTCATTCAGTAGTCACATATGTTTCCAATAAATGGACCTCATGGATTTTCAGTGTAATGAATGACCTCATGGATTTTCAGTGCAATGAATGACCTCATGGAGTTGCAGTGCAATGATTGGACCTCATGGAGTTTCAGTGCAATTAATGACCTCATGGAGTTCCAGTGCAATGAATGACCTCATGGAGTTTCAGTGCAATGAATGACCTCATGGAGTTTCAGTGCAATGAATGACCTCATGGAGTTTCAGTGCAATGAATGACCTCATGGAGTTTCAGTGCAATGAATGACCTCATGGAGCTCCAGTGCAATGAATGACCTCATGAAGTTTCAGTGCAATGAATGACCTCATGGAGGTTCAGTGCAATTAATGACCTCATTGAATTTCCATGCAATGAATGACCTCATGGAGTTGCAGTGAACTGAATGACCTCATGGAGTTTCAGTGCAATGAATGACCTCATGGAGTTTCAGTGCATTGAATGCCCTTATGGAGTTCCAGTGAACTGAATGACCTCATGGAGTTCCAGTGAACTGAATGACCTCATGGAGTTTCAGTGTAATGAATGACCTCATGGAGTTCCAGTGAACTGAATGACCTCATGGAGATTCAGTGCAATGAATCACCTCATGGAGTTCCAGTGAACTGAATGACCTCATGGAGTTTCAGTGCAATGAATGACCTCATGGAGTTTCAGTGCTATGAATGACCTCATGGAGCTCCCGTGCAATGAATGACCTTATGGAGTTTCCGTGTTCTTTTCAACAGACTGATTAAAACAGTTCTTGTTTATGAGGAAGTAAAAGTTACTTTAAATACACTCGCAGGATTTTTATGAGCTCCTTTACATAGAGATAAGTTCAACTTCAGTCAAAAAGGCTGCTAAACTATTTCATTTTGCAGGAAATACTGTCACAGGAGATATTGTAGATCATGATGATTCAAATTCACACATTTTGAAAGATGACTCGCCTGACTTTGATAAGATTAAACTCAAGAAGACATTACTGAAGTAATGTAACTGGGTAATATATCTGTTGAAAAAAACCCAACATATCTGAGGCTTTTCAAAGCATAATGGTTTTGTGTGAAGAGTCTTTGTTGAGAAAGCTGTGTACAGATATGGACGTAATGATATCGGCTGTTGTAAGTCCAGGGTTTACTGCTATCCTCTGTTGGTTTGAGCCAATTTGAGGTGCAAAGCAATTAATCATGATTGTGAAAACCTCCCAGGAAACCCTATATAAACATGAAGGGGTCTGGCTTCTTCCTAGCCTCAGAGTTGTTAAGACATCTGTAGATAAAAATGAAAATGCCCTACCTCAATTAAGTGTAAAGTATAGGTAAAGTGTTCATGGTATAGTCATCCTGGTCTTTGTTTCATTGAGGCTTCTAACATGCTTGAACTGATTGTTGAATTTTTACGGACATTTCACCTAATGTTTATCCTTCTTGATTATTTGCTTCAAAGCGTAGAAGTTAAAGCGAGACAGTTCAGAGTTTGACAAGAAACGGAGTGTCTGAGAAGCTTTGATGGTTATTCACCTTGCATATTAAGGGATGACTGCATCTGTTGTTATTGTGCTCTTTAGGTTATAATTTTAGCTGTAATGACTTCTAGTCTCTCACAGTATTCTGTAATTAACATTATTCAATGTCAGGGAATAATGACAAGAGTCACAAGTACTTAATGCTTTACTGCATTAGCACTGAGCTGTCCCTTCCTCTCTTCAAAATACTGGCCCTGTTTATGAAGCACTGATCCTCCAATTATTTGCCAGTTTAAATCAGGTTTCAGTCAATTAAATTTTACATTTTATGTAATTATATCATTAGGATATTGTGTGTGTTTAAAGCATGGTTCAGTAACTGTAAACTTAAAGAGAATCGTTCAGCGTAACTTTATATGTCTTATATGTGAATAAGATTAAAGCTATGTTACAGATTTATAATCACAGTAATGCTCTGTAATTATTGAGCAGGCCTTGAATGTTTGGGAACTATTGCTTATCAATGGAGGTAGAGGACCCCCTCTGTGTACAAGACCAATCATTTCCAGATGTCATCTTGGCTGTTTACTGTATATTTTGACATGACTTTGTGATTTACGTTTAATGTTTTATTATCAAACTGGCTTTTTATTTCAAGCATATTAATGGGTTTAAGATTTTTAAGTTGTCCGAAAGTGTCCTATGTGACACATTTAGTTGAACAAGCAGTTGGGTGATTTTGGTGGCTCAGTAGAATAAGTATGTGAGTGAGTGAATGAGTTTAGCTTTACGCCACTTTTAGCAGTATTCCAGCAATATCACGGTGGGTGACACCAGAAATTGGCTTCACACATTGTACGCATGTGGGGAATCGAACCCTGGTCTTCGGCGTGACTCACAAACGCTTTAACCACCAGGCTACCCCACTGCCCCTAAAGAGCAGGTGGCACTGGATGGATACTTTATGAATTACATCAATTGCAGTCAGGTATCATAAGTGTGACACCTTAAGGTGTGTGAGAGATTGTGGTTTTACTCAACCTGTATCAGGGGCAGTGGGTTAGCGAGGTGTTTAAAGCATCGGCTCGTCATGTCAAAGGCCCAGGTTCGATTCCCCACAAGGGTACAATGTGTGAAGCCCATTTCTGGTGTCCTCGGCCGTTATATTGCTGGAATATTGCTAAACGCCTGTATCTGTATCAAAATTGCAGCACAGTCACGGCAGTGGTAACTTGAAGAGTGTGAAATGGAACCCAGGCTATCAACATCAAGCAAACGCTTGAACCACTTGGCTAATCCAGTTGTTAGCTTTAAAAATGATGTTTTCACCAATATGGCAGAACAAGACACAAGTCTAAATTCAGCTGGCTTGGACATCGAGCATTAAATGAGTGACTTAAGATTTTTTTATCCCGACAGCTTTCCTTAATCGAGGTACACTTATGTGTGGTCTACCTGTACCAGATTTAATCTACCGTATATTACCGTCTATAAGCCGACCCCATAGATAAGCTGACCCCCAATCTTGACCCTTAAAATCAGTGTCAAAATGGTATGTTTCGTACATAAGCCGATCCCCCGCGATGGGGTCCTAATCCTGGCAAACACAGACAACAGACAACTGGCAGTTACCAATTATTATAACTTTGGTCCACATTATTCAAAGAATTTACAATCATATTGCGTCTACTCACGGATCGAAATGAAGTGTAGCTGACAGAAAATGGATAATATATTTTGTTTCGCTAAATATCATACTTATTGTAGCTGGACGATCACATGTCAACAAAGTGGCTTGCTTATTTTACCCCATTCCATGTGCGTATAACTTCCGTTTACCACATTCGTGAGGTACGTTTTTTGCTCCAACCGCGATAGCCAATTTCACATCATATTATCAACAATCACGAACTGATTACCGCCTTGTTTTCCATGGACTGCTAGTCTACAGTAACATCGGTAAAAATGTGTGAATTTAAATGGCTTGCTTATTTTACCCCATTCCATGTGCCTACAACTTCCGCTTACCACGTTCATGAGGGTCAGTATAACCTTAGTGTTGATTATATATATTTTACATATATAGAACAAAAACTGTAATTAAAATTACGCAATGCTAGGGTATATTTCTTTGGGTTAAATTATAGTGTTCTGTATTATATTTTACTGATGACTGCGTCAGAATTCGTCCCGTTATATTATTGTGCATGTTTGAACTTGATCGCTGGGAAACGTGTGCACAGCTGATTGCTATTTCTGGCTCAAATACACACGGTAATCTTAATCCCTGCAAATAATACAATGCCCAGCAAAAACAACTTTGAACTTAAAAGGTAAATAATCTTGTCTAGTGATGTTTAATTGCAAATTTGATGTCTTTACTGACAAAGTTGTCTTCTGTTGTTTGTTCAAGCGAAGTGATACAATGTTGTTTTCTTACCCCTGGAAAAAAGTTTGACGAAAGTGTAACTCATAGATAAGCCGACCCCTTCTACAGACTGCTTTTTTTTATCCACAAAATTCGGCTTATAGACGGTAATTTGCGGTACATGTACATAAATATTCTGAGCCAGTTCTTTTCTGGCTCGCTGCATCTAAGTCCAAGTGTGGTCAGTCTTTGTGGGAAACCAGTGTACTGAGGTTGAACCTAAAAGACAACTCAAGTTTGTCAGAGTAGCTGTGGTTAGGACAGATCTACAGGGAAAACAATATGGAAACACCTACTCTTGCTCACTCTATCAACAATTGGTTGGTTCATCTTGAACAGTCTGAATACCTCGACTAAAACTCATTCATCAATTCTATCTGCAACCTGACGATAGCATACAATATGCATGATATGTACAGTGTCACAGTGACTATCTACACACATGTTGATCTACAGACTGAGGAGTGGTTGGGAAGCTTAGTGGTTAAAGTGTTTGCTCGCCATGCCGAAGACCCAGGTTCGAATCCACACATGGGTACAGTATGTGAAGCCCATTTCTGTTGTTCCCTGTCGTGATATTGCTGGAATATTGCTAAAAGTGACGTAAAACTAAATCAATCAATTGATTGCAGATTGAATGTGTTCTTCATTTTGACCTCTGGTGGTGACTCAGATGCATTGTCTCTTCACGACAGATAATCACTCCAACATTAAAGTCGACCGTAACACACTGTAGTGTACTAATCCAGATAAACGTGGGTCATATGAGTACACTATGAACCTTGCAAACTAACTACCCAAGGTGATGACCTATTTGAATTAATCAAGTCTCAATTTTATTTTATTCTTTTTGCAAATTGTCTTTTTGGTATATGGACTTCATATCATACTGAATGGGAATGACAGGGGGTCTTAACAAGCTGATACATTAAATATGTGTGTTATTATCCTTATTTATTGTTTTCAGATCAAGGAGTGTACTTGTCATCTTACCTGTATAAAGGTATGTGAACATATGTATGTTGTCTAAGATCAAAGGGTGAAGGTTTTATTAAAGATTTTTCACATGATAAAAAAGATATTTTTTGTGATAAGACATAGGCAGTTTTCTATTTCAGTTTGTATATATCTTATGACTTGTGAGTTTCCATAATGGCGAGATTAAGTGTATCAGAACTTGCTGTTTACCTAATGACAATGCCAATATGAAAGCCACTGGCATGTATCTTTCAGCTATTTTTGAATGACGACTTTTGTCTGAAAGTGTGTGCTTAGGGTATCATGGTCATGATGATTCATTCTTTTGATTCATTGTGACAATGAGAAATATGACACATGACTTTAATGAATACTGCATGATGATATATAAATTATGTCCCGACAGCAAAGTGTCGACGTATAGCAAGGTATTAATGTGCACTGTGAAAGAAAACCATCACTTAGTACTTCTGGGCCTAGATTTTCGAAGCTCTCTCAGAGCTAAGATAGTCATAAGTGCCATTCTTTAAAATTAACTTATAAATATCTTAGCGCTAAGAGAGCTTCGAAAATCTAGACCCTGGCCACTATGTGTTGTAGGGGCGTGGGGTAGCCAAGTGGTTAATGTGTTCTCTCGTCACGCCAAAGACCCGGATTCGATTCCACATGGGCACGATGCGTGAAGCCCATTTCTGGTGTCCCCCACCGTGATATTGCTGGAATATTGCTACCAGCGACATAAAACTAAATTCACTCACTCATTCACTCATGTGTTACATGTCTGCCAAAACTGTCACAGAAATATGGAGTTTTACGTGGTTTGTCGTCAGTAGGTATATTTTCTTCATGTTGGGCATCCACCGGTAATGGATGACAATGACGGCACTGACCAAGGAGTCTATGGTGCCACAATTTATTAATTTGCACATTTATTAATTTAGAAATGTCAATGATTGTATTTCAAGGTTTGTTAACACCTTAGTCTGTTGTTAAAAAAAGACACTTTGAACCTCATTCACTCACTCACTAACGACTGACGAGCAACTCAGTTTTGTAAATGGTTTTGTTTTGTGAGTACTGGTTGTCTTGATGTACATCAGGTAGTCCTTTAGAGCATGTGATAGGAACATTGTTTACGCTTCAGGTGTTTCTTGTGTCTTTTGTACTATTGGACAAACATGTATAGATACTGAAACGGAAGAGGTTCCAACTGCCTCATCCGTGTTGTTGGAGTTGATTAAATGGAGATCAGTTATTTGGTTACAATATGTCACCTGAATGTTTTTGTCACAATGGTTAGTATAGCAGGATGGCTTGCACCCCACCTCTGGGCACCCAGAGGAGATCTTGCATTCTTTGCTGATTCCAGGGTTTGTGTCTTGGCTTCATCTTCTTCTTTGGTTATATGCTTTGGAGGTCGCCTTAGCCTGCTGGCATTTCGGCAGACCTATCTCGCCTTGGGATGGGTGGGGCATGACCTTCAATCACCTCCTTCCTTTTTATCCAGATCCCAACACTCTTGCAAACCACCTCAAACACCAACAATGGAACAAGATCTTTCCTTCTCTCAGAACCATGGGTTCCTGTCTTGGCTACAGACTGGCCTTGCAAGTCACTTCTGTCCACTATCAAGGAGAGATGTTTCCTTCTCTTCAGATTACAGGATTGCTGACTTGGCTTCAGACTGACCTTGCAAGTCACCTCTGAAAATACCCAAGAGGAGTTCCTTCCTCCTGTCCAGATGCTGGGTCTCCTCCATGTAACCTCACACACCAACAAAAGGAGTTCCTTCCTTGTTTCCAGGTCCTGGGGTTACTGCATGTCACCTCACACTCCAACAAGAGGAGGTCCTTCCTTCTGTCCAGATCCTGTGTCTCTACCGCATGTCACCTCTTACAGCAACAAGAAGAGAGGAGTTCCTTCTGTCCAGATGCTGGGGCTCCTTCATGTCACCTCACACACCAACAAGAAGAGAGGAGTTCCTTCTGTCCAGATCATGGGGCTCCTTCATGTCACCTCACACACCAACAAGATGAGAAGAGCTCCTTCTGTCCAGATCCTTGGACTCCTTCATGTCACCTTACACACCAACAAGAAGAGAGGAGCTCCTTCACCTGACACACCAACAAGAGGAGTTCCTTTCTTCTGTCTAGATCCTGGAACTCCTTCATGTCACCTGACACACCAACAAGAAGAGGGGAGTTCCTTCTGTCCAGATCCTGGGGCTCCTGCTTGTCACCTCACACACCAACAAGAGGAGCTCTTTTCTTCTGTCCAGATCCTGGGGCTCATACATGTCACCTCACACACCAACAAGAGGAGTTCCTTCCTTCTGTCCAGATCCTGGGGCTCCTACATGTCACCTGACACTCCAACAAGAGGAGTTCCTTCCTTCTGTCCAGATCCTGGGGCTCCTACATGTCACCTGACACACCAACAAGAGGAGTTCCTTCCTTCTGTCCAGATCCCGGGGCTCCTACATGTCACCTGACACACCAACAAGAGGAGTTCCTTCCTTCTGTCCAGATCCCGGGGCTCCTACATGTCACCTCACACACCAACAAGAGGAGTTCCTTCCTTCTGTCCAGATCCTGGGGCTCATACATGTCACCTCACACACCAACAAGAGGAGTTCCTTCCTTCTGTCCAGATCCTGGGGCTCCTACATGTCACCTGACACACCAACAAGAGGAGTTCCTTCCTTCTGTCCAGATCCTGGGGCTCCTACATGTCACCTGACACACCAACAAGAGGAGTTCCTTCCTTCTGCCCAGATCCTGGGGCTCCTACATGTCACCTGACACACCAACAAGAAGACACCTTTCTTTCTCTGCAGATCCCACAGTTCCTGTTTTGGCTTCACAGTATCCTTGCACATTCTCTCTGTATATCCTCAAGAGGAATTCCTTTGTTCTGTCCAGATCACGTTTCTGTCTTGGCATCAGAGTGGCATTCAAGTCGCCTCTGTATGTGCCCAAGAGTGGTTCTTTCCTTCTCTGCAGGTCACCAGGTTCCTGTTTTGGCTTAGGGTGTTCTTGCAAGTCAACTCCTTTATATCTTGACTGTCAGTCTTGAATATTTAAAAAATGAGTGACACACTTTCTTGGTTTCACCATCAAATTTTTAGTGGTCACTATATATCACCACTTAATTTCAAGGGCAGTGGGGTAGCCTAGTGATTAAAAGGTTCATCCGTCACACCAAAGACCAGGTTTGATTTCCCACATGGGTAGAATGTGTGAAGCCCATTTCTGGTGTCCCCCGACGTGATATTGCTGGAGTATTGCTGAAGGCGGTGTAAAACTAAACTGTCTCTCTCACTCACTCACATAATTTCAACTTTTCCACATTTGGAAAGAGTTATGGAAGACAGTTTTCAAGAGTTTGTAATTTTGTACTCTTAACACTAAATCAGACAGCTTGCAATATGTAAAAATGAATCACTTGTTGATGTCATAATATTTCTGAATCTGCTTTGTCACAATCCAGAGAAAATGTGTCCATGTGTCCTTCACCTTACCATCGGGCGGAGGGGTAGACTAGTGGCTAAAGCATCTGCTTGTCACACCGACAAGGTTCGAATCCCCACATGGGTGCAATGTTTGAAAGCCATATCTGGTGTCTCCCCACCGTTATATATTACTCTAATATTGCTAAAAGTGGTGTAAAACCCAACTCACTCAGTCAGTTTACCAAAAAGATATTGTCATGGTTATGCAAAGAGTTGTGTTCAGTTAGCAGTGAAGGATACAAACTAAAGACATTTGATTTCAGCAGAAATTATGCACTCAAACAATGCATGCTAACATATGCCTATCACCTTCCTTCAGGGTGTATTTAACCTATCCAAGAATCACATGTGGTGTAAAGCTTTTCTTAGGTCTGAGAGAATGTCATGACCCTGATTCTGTGTTGCTGCTCTTCCCAAGCAACTGTCACATAAGGATAGTCTCTCAAAGCTTTTGTAAACTGACCTGTTCGTTTGTGTTGCTGCATACGCTCTTATAGATTCATTGCAAATATATGAGAAAGGCTCATTGCTCAGTAAACTGGTTTTATGTTCAATAAGACTTGACAAAACTTTGCAGTCATATAAATAAGTTGATGAAATCGGAACCTGTTGATTCCATGTGCCCAGTTCAGTGGTTGGTATACTAAATATTGATCCAACACTTCCATGTAAATTACAGGGCCTCATTACACAAAGTGATCTCAGAACTATAGCTCTCCTTCTGTGGACCAAGAAACCTCTGATGCCTGATGGATATTGTACTCAAGGACACTCAAACCATTCACCAGTGCCAGAACAAGCAGTATCACTGTCCATGTTATTCCCTGCCATTACAGAAGCATCAGGATATAAAACATATGGTACATGCATTCAAAACCAAGTCTTTGTTCCACTACATGAATCTATACCTAATTTTAATTGAAACAGTGTACAAAGAGACATAGGTTTAGCTTTCACCTGTATAGTGATTTGGATCCTGTATATTTTACTATGTGTGGACCAGATTATACCCTGTAAAGTTCTGTTTCACCAGGTGACACAACAATATGTAATAGCCCACGAACCCATTTAGCTGGTTCACTGTCACATTAATTTAGCATTCTTTTGATAACACAAATAGACAGGTACACATTAAGGTATGAATCACGCTTGTTAAGTCTGTGAGACAGGAGATATTTAGTTTATCAGCAATCTTTAATGGGCATAGCCTTTCACCCTTTTTGTTAGGGTGCAGTTCTAATTCCTCCTTCAATTTTATCAGCTACCTAAAGCTTGTATTATGACTTTTGTGTGATCCAGTAAAATTCATTGTAAAAACTTACCTCGGTGCCAGCTCTAAGCTCGACATGTAACCCCATTTAAACAAGGGGGAGTTTGTCCCTTCTCATTGTTCTCCATGTTTATTCGATGGCTGAATGGAATGCGGCACCTTTTAATTAGCGTCAAAATCACACCTGTAGGTCCCTGGGCTTTGAATGCTGTAAAGATTCTGAAAGTTTGCCTTAGTTGATCCT